TGTGTGTGTGTGTGTGTGTGTGTGTGTGTGTGTGTGTGTTACCTGTATTCCGGTGTGTGCACAGGCCAGTTTGGTGAACTCAATACAGCGTCCATCATTGACGTCCCATAAACACATTTCCCTGTGACAAACACAAAAGACGTCTCAGGTGAAACTGCTAACATTTAATATAATAATAAACACACATTTCACTGTCTGAACACACTGTTATCTTAAAGATCAGCACAGCCTAAAGAGCCCATGATAAACTCTCTCTCACCCGCTTTCGGAGGCGCTGACGAGGTATTGTTTGTCACTTCCTGCGCTGGCCTTGGACAGACAGGTGACAGAAGCCGTGTGTCCGAACAGCAGAGCGCGAGGATTGATCTAAACACACAGAGACACACAGAAACTCATCAAACAATCCGGAGCGATTATTATCCTTCATAACAGTCCAGCCCATGGAAGATAGTCAGTCATATGGGAGTAAATGATGACAAAATGTAAATTTTTGGGGTGCACTGTGCCTTTAAAGAAAAACAAGCTATGTGTGACCTCGCCGTGACCTCTCACCTCCAGCTCTGGGGTCATGTCCCAGATGCAGATCTGTCCATCATGGCAGCCGGTGATGATGGTGGCCAGATCGTCCATCACCAGCAGGCTGGAGATGCAGTGAGTGGGCGCATTGCGGCCCCACAGAACTATGGGTAATACCAGACTGTTTCCTGACATGTTCTCTGTGATACTGAAAAGAGAGAGACAACAAAAGAAAACCGTAATCAGACACAATCAATGCATTGTTGGAAATTCCAGAAACACAAAAATGAAGAAGTGGAATAACTGGCCTAGATGAACAAACAAAGGCCTGGGAAAAAAAGTATATTTATTTTTATATACTGTATATAATTATATATAATTACATTTTTCTAAAGAATCAGTTTATTAAATAAACATTATTTCTTTATTTATTTTAACACCGTATCAGAGGTAAATACTTTTTGTAGTAGAAATTTAAATTTCTCAAAAAAATGTATATTTAATTTAACAAATGTAACAATTAAATATTTTTTAATATTTATTTATTTTTCTAACAAATTTTTTTTTTTAAATATAGCAATTATATAAATTGCTATATTATATATTTTCCCAGGAGAAAGCTTTTAGAAATGTCCATGAATTAAATTAAGTAAAATGTATTTATTTAACCTCCTGAGACCCTGCGACCTCATATGAGGACATTATATTTTAGTGTATTTCTCCGAGACTTTACTTGCCACAGTTTTACATCTGGATGTCCTGTACAGAGCACATTCAGGGCTTTTCAGAGATACTAAATGTTTGGATGTTCCCACCAAGATCACTCCCTCTCCTTGGTCTTCAAACATGTCAGATATTAATTTAGTGACACTCTTATGGATTTTATGATAATATTTTGTAATTATCATTTAAATCTGACTAATTTTTAAACTGTGTGTCATAAATCAACATCTCAGGAAAATGTTATGGGGTTTCAAATCAAAATATGACTTTCTGTTAAGAAACAGGTCATATGAAGACACCGGGACTAAAAGCATGTTTATTACGCATTTTGGGAGACACAACAAATGAACAGGAAAAGAAATTATATTTCAATATTCCTATGAAATATTATATATATTATTATGCAAATCTTGTCAATTATTACTCCCATTATTACACTTATTTTTTCATTACATGTTGCCCCAAAAACACATTAATATGCAAATTAGATTTAGTTTATAAATACATTGTATATAATGAGAAAACCTGTTTATGGCCATTTTACACACATTTTGCATAAGGAAAAATGGTATATCAAATCATTCTGTTATAACATAGTTGAGAATTATCTTTATACAAAGTTTGGTAAAAAAAAAAAATCCTGAAAACTACAAATGTATTGGTGATTTTAAAGAAATCAATTGTTTTTGCCTATGCATGTTCATTCATGTCTTTTTATTTTATAAAGAAATTGAGTCCCGGTGTCCTCTACCAAGGACGTAGCATAATTTATGAATGAAATATCATTTAAAAAAATTGTTTTAATGCTCTAAACAATGTAATGACATGAAAAAATATATATATTTCTTCCTAAACTGTTTTGCCGGGTCTCAAGAGTATAATTGAATATATAGCAGAATGTTCCAATAAAATATGCTTCATAGTCAAGGAAACTTAAAGCCATAGTCTTCACATTTAAAAATTATAGGCTATACAAAAGTAAACAAAATGTGACCAATTCATTCATATCAGATTCAGATATTTATGATTATTGACTCCAGATGTTTGGAGTAACACTCTAGCACACTACTCATACTATACTATTCCTGCACTATTCCTACATTTAGCATACTATAACTGGTACACTACAGTATACAAATACATGCACAGAATACAAGAAAGAACAGAGAGCACGTTTCCAACTGGAGCAAATGAGTGCCCCATGATTGACAAGCATCACAGATTAACCTCAAACTGACAAAAAAATCAATCAAAATCAATATCCATCCCTTAAAACAACACGCAGAAGTTCTTAAGTTCAAACTCTTTAATCTGATGAAGGGTTCGACATCTGATGTTATAAGTGCAGCACAACTGCAAACTGAATTGGTAATTAAAATCACTCTAGAACAGAACTGAAGCAGAATTGAGATCGACACAGAGCTCGTTACGTAACGCACAGATAAATGGACATCACTGACTCTAACTGTAAGTACTATTGAACACTTCTATAAGCGCTAGTCCAATAAAACACCACAAATCACGCTTTTAACATTAACCATTGCTGCTAGCTTGTGTTTTAATGTATTATGAAAGAGAAACTTGATTTATTAAACCATAATTGTAATCTAAGATCAACTGTATAAACAACTAAATAAATGATAAGATACAACATTACTGGATTTAATGAGAATTCAACAATCGATCATTCATTTGTATTGCTATAAATGAAGCAGATTATTAAGAAGACATGACGTTAAATCCATCAAAACTATTCAATCGCACACACTGAGGAAAGAAATGCAGAACGCAGACTGACTTTACCTGACATGCTTATGTCTCCTCAGATTATTCCTGAGCCTGCGAAACACTCGTTTAATGTTCACTAAATGAACCAGCTTCATCCTGCAAGGATTCCTCTGCTGATTTAGAAACAATAAGACTGTGTGCTTCAGCTCTGCCGTGTCTCTCGGTCTGATAGACACTCACAACACAACAGCAGACGAATCAAACCAAGCCCTTTCAGAGCAATCAATGAGCGTTCATCATCCGTACAGACAGACACAGATTGAACTGGAAAACAACCATTGAACTCAGAGCGGATCTGATCGCTCTGAAAGTCAGCAGATATCTTTTAGGGCTGTGCAATATATCGAAATATCGCAATATGCATATCGCTACAGCTTGCAATATTTGGGGCCAAAAATCACTCACTGCTCTGACCTAAACAACTTTTGTAGCTTAAATAAGAATCAGTGCATATTGAATTCAAAGAGTAAATTCTAAGCAGTGTTTTATTTTTCCTTTTTATTATTCAGTTCCTAAACTCACGTTAAAATGACATTTTTATGTAATGCTCGAGTAAAACATAACGTTCACTTTCAGAAGTTGTTGTAGGGGTGCTTTCTTATTAGAATCAGAATCAGAATGAGCTTTATTCACCGCTTAAGTGTGCGCAAACACAAGGAATTTGCTTTTTGGTTTTATAGGAGCTCTTAACATACAAATAACCATATATATATGACACAAGATAGTTACAGAAGTTCACAGAACTGACTCAGCAACAGCTGAGTAAAACGGTTTCATCTGAGCATGTGGCACTTTAAGCATTATCGTATCGCATTATTTAATGAGTTATCGCATATCACATTTTTCTTCAATATCGCACAGCCCTATTACCAGAACAACAATGCGTGGAAATATCATCCGCTAAAAGATAAAGAGAATATAACAGAGTGTGTCTGTTCTGAAATCTGTACAAAGCATCTGTTTTGGTTACAATTCCCATGCCATGATGGCATGACAGCGCTTTTTAACAAATCTTTTTCAACAACATGAACACTTTACAACACTAGATAGTTGCCAGAGATAGATTCAAATGTTAAATGAGGTGCAATAAAAAAACTAATAAACAAAAATGTAGCTGATCATTGTTTCTTTATTGTGCACTCTTTATTAGGTAAGAACCTAATTTATAACAATTTATTACAGAATTGAATAACAGTTATATAGTTTTAATATAGTTGACCATTGTTTTCATTACAGGACAATGTTATAAATGGTACAAAACACCCAAATTACATTTTAACTTGATTATTGTCACAAATGATCATACTAACATTTATTGAAGAATAACAGTTCGATTAAAAGAGCAATTTATGACAGAACCACATCCTAAATTAATATAGCTATAGTATGTTTCCATATCAAAGAACAATGTTATACATTGTATGAAACACCCAAAAGCACGTTTGAGCTTGATTACTGTCACAGATTATCATGAGAACATAATAACTAAGAAGAAGAATAGCCTAAAGGCTAAACCTAAAAACACAACCTACTGTTTAAATTGAAGTAATAACAGGTTTGACATGAAAAAAATGTAACTTTTTAGTAATAATGTCATGTTAATAGCAAACATTTCAACATGAGTATAAATGACGTGTTGTCCAAAGCTTCTGATCTTTTTAGAGAGTATTTCAAGTAGTAGAATAAATCCAAGCTTATTTGATATAAACCTGCTACAGATGGATGTCTTTGACCGTTGTGCTTTTTCAGCATCTTGCTGCTTTTTAGCATCTCGCTCATCAAGTACTAAAAACAAAGTGTTATAAACTTATTCATGTTAAAAATTATTTTCCATTCCAGTGCATTGTCTTGCATTTTTTAAAAATGAAAAAAAAATGTGTTTAAAATGATATAAATATAAATGATTTTAATAAATGTGACCTTGGACCACAAAACCAGTCATAAGGGTCAATTTTCTGAATTTATGCAAAAATAAGCTTTCCATTGACGTATGGTTTGTTAGGATCGGACAATATTTGGCCGAGATACTTGATATTTGAAGATCTGGAATCTGAGGGTGCAAAAAAATCTAAATATTGAGAAAATCATCTTTAAAGTTGTCCAAATGAAGTTCTTAGCAATGCATATTACTAATCAAACATTAAGTTCTGATATATTTACGGTAGGAAATTTACAAAATATCTTCACGGAACATGATCTTTACTTAATATCCTAATGAGTTTTGGCATAAAAGAAAAATCAATAATTTTGACCTATACAACATATTTTTGGCTATTGCTACAAACATACATGCGCTATTATGACTGCTTTTGTGCTCCAGGGTCAGAAATATCACAAGTTTTCATCCATGTTTTTATTTAAACAGTAAACCTCTTTTGTGCAGAACTTTGGTTGCCAAAAATAAAAGTAATTTTTCAATTTTATTTTGATTACATTTTAAAAGATTAAAAGGTCATTTTTTATGCCTTAATTTGATTACTGCTGTTTTTGATAATACATTTGTATTAAATCATAAATTCAGGCACATTAAAAGACAACACATAATTTCTGAAAAAAATAAAGCATTTCATATGCCCCTATTACTGCAAAAATGTCATTACATTCTTAATTATAAAACAAACGTTTTATGAATTCATTTGATAAGACATGCTTTTTTTAATTAAAGTTTAAGTAAACTTAAGTAAAGAAAAAAATATATTTAAAAAACCATGGAATTGAGCCATTTTTGTTAAACTTCTAATAAATTGTTGTTAAAGTAACTACATGTACGTTTTTTACCTTAAAATATCAGTTTCAAAGTCATTTCCACGGTACACTGCTTCTAATAAGACGAATACCTTCCGATTCTTTCCTACCTTTCATTTCAATTAATTAGACATGTTTTTTTATTGCTAAAATGTAATTCAACCATTGAACAGAATCCATTCAAATGGAAAAAAAAATAAAGCCGATTTTATACGGCTGTCTACACCGTTAAAAAGGCTAGTATTAAAAACCTTGATACCTCTGATCAAAGTCAAATAAAATAAAATAAAAGTAATGAAAATCGGATGATATCTTAGTTAATACAGTAAAAAATTAAGCAGATTGGTTCAAATTAAGTTAATAATAGAAGTATCTTTCTATACTTCTATTCTGTGTGAATGTTAATTCCATTCACTGCCATTAAGCCTTAAACAAACTATCATCACCGATTAAAAAAACTCATGAAGAAATAATAAACTGTCTAACCTATGCTTAATATCTGTGCACCACTATAAAATTGATTTTTCAAAGTTGTAAATAAAATAACCACTACTAGAGAACGTCTTTAAAAAGAAAAACTATTACAGTCTTTCTACTTCAAAATTTCATGTTTAATTCACTGTTACTTGTCCTTACGTTGCAATTATTTGTCAAATTTACTAGCAGTTTCCGAATAAAAATGGTTTGAAAGGCTATTTTCTTCAGTGCAGTTTACTCTGCGACTTTCAATAAATTCAATTTCTTGCATTTGCAATTTTCAGAATGTAACATATTTGTACTTATTTGAATAGTTTTATTGCAGGTGGAGGGTATAGCTGGCTAAGCTTAAAGGGATAGTTCACCCAAAAATTTTAATTCTGTCATCATTTACTCACCCTCATGTTGTTTCAAACCTGTATGAGTTTCTTTCTTATGTTGAACGTAACAGAAGATATTTTGAAGATTGCTGGTAGCCAAACAGCTGATGGTCCCCATTGACTTCCATAGTATTTATTTCCCTACTATGGAAGTCAATGGGGACCAACAACTGTTTGGTCCTTCAAAATTCTTCAAAATATCCTATTTTGTGTGCAACATAAGAAAGAAATTTATACAGGTTTGGAACGAAATGAGGGTTACTAAATGATGACAGAATTTTCATTTTTTTTTTAATGAAATATCACTTTAACTTGTCCCCCTCAGGGGCTCCCCTGGAACTCATCCGCACCCTCTGGAACTTTGGCCCCCTCGTTATTAAGGGCCCCTCTGTAATTCCGGGCCCCTCTGAATCTATGTGCTCCCCCAGTACTGTGGCCCCTGTGGTCCCCTCGGAAACCGGAGTTTCCCCTAAAATTGTGACCTCCTCTGAAACTGTGTTCCCCTCTGTTACTGTGGTCCTCCTTAAAATTGTAGCCCCCCCTGAAACTGGGGTCCCCTCTGGTACTGTGGCCCCCTTTGGAATTGTGTCCCCCTCTGGAATTGGGGTCCTCCTTAAAACTGGGGTCCCCTCTGTTACTGTGGTCCTCCTTAAAATTGTAGCCCCCCCTGAAACTGGGGTCCCCTCTGGTACTGTGGCCCCCTTTGAAATTGCGTCCCCCTCTGGAATTGGGGTCCTCCTTAAAACTAGGGTCCCCCCTGAAACTGAGGTCCCCTCTGTTATTGGGGCCCTCCTTAAAACTGGGGTCCCCTCTGTTACTGTGGTCCTCCTTAAAATTTTGCCCCCCCCTGAAGCTGGGGTCCCCTCTATTACTGGGGCTCCCTCTGAAATTGGAGCCTCCTCTGGAAGTGGGGTCCCCCCTGACACTGGGCCCCTCTCTGGAACTGTGGCCCCGTCTGATATTGTGGCCCCCTCTTACACTGGGGTCAATCTTCTGTAGCACAGTGAGCCTCAGGTCACTCAGGTATTCTTGGGTACTGATCAGCAAATCGGAAACATTCCCCGGATCTGGCAGGCTAAACTGGGCTCTGGAAAAAACAAAAACCTTCAGGAATCAGAGAAGAGCCAGAGAATTCACAAGAGAAACAGGAAACACAACAAACCTCTGCAGTGTGCTCTTAAAGTTCTGTAAAGACAAAAAGAAAGAAATGCATTTTTTAATTTCTGAAAATACCATTCATATGTTTGCATTTGTCTTAATAATGAACACTTTGTAGATGAGGGTTCATTGGCACCTGCAGGAATGAATCATCTTCAGCTTTCATCTGCTTCTCTACGTCTCTGACTGCACATTTGAGAGATACGATCTGTTTGCTGGTCTTCCCAGTCTTCTCCTTTATCATCTGACTCTTCTGCTTCTCTTCCTCTCGCAGCACTGTTATTCTGGCCACTTCTTCATTGCGCAGAATCTCACGAAGTTCCTCAAACTCCTTCTTGATCTTCTCCTCTGTTTCTTCAGTTTGAGCCTGAA